GAGCCGATGTACCAGCTTCTAAGGAGGGCTTGGACGCTCTGCCCGTCCACCAGAGAACAGCCTGGCTCCATCCTAGCAATAATGTGAAATATATGTTTAGTCTTCACCCCAGTTTCCTGGCACACAAACTCCTAAAATCCTTTATAATCTCCATAGCAGTGTCTTTTGTATGTTAATTAGTTGATCTGTAGCTGGCAGCCACCAGGCAGCTTCAGGATGGGGACTGGTTACCCAAAAGACCAATGCAGGTATAGAGGGTTAGGACTTCCAGCCCCACTTCCCAACCTCACCAAGGGCAGAGGCTGAAAGGTAGGTTGATGGCCAGTGGCTTAATCAGTCATGCCCACATTATGAAGCCCTCATAAAAATTCAGAAGTACAGGGTTCTGAGAGCCTCTGGACAGCTGGACATGTGGATGTTCCTGGACGTGCCAGCTTCTAGGGAGGGCTTGGCAGCTCTGCCCGTCCACCATATCTCACCCTATGGATCTCTTCACCCATATTCTTTGGAATATACTTTATAAGAAACCAATAAGCATAAGTGAGTGTTTCCCTTAGTTCTGTGAGCTACTCTAGCAAATTAATCAAACTCGAGGAGCAGGGCTTGGGAACTCCAATTTCAGAAGCACAGGTGAAACGCTCTGGAGCTTATAGTGGTCAACAGAAGTGGGGGCAGTCTTGGGAACTGAGCCTTCACCCTGTGAAATCTGACACCATCTCTGTGTGGATAATTGGAATCAAAAGAGAGGACACTTAGCTGGTATGTAGGGAAAACTCCCCACACTCGTGGTCACAGAAATCTTCCGTGTTGATTGTGGAGTAAGAGCAAAGGAAGCATAGTTTGTATTTTTTCCACTCAATCCTTCTAACAGAAATGTCATTCAGCAAAACAAAACCCAAGTCCCCAGCCCCTTTGGCCTTGGGCAGCCTGCCTGTCTCCCCGGGCCACTGCCCTGGCAGATATCCTTCCTGCTTGGCTTCTCTGAGCCCTTTGAGGTTGTTCTGGTTGCCTGGATGGAGAGTGGCAAGGCTCGGGGGACCGGCTGCCCCAGGAAGGGACGGCTTCAGCCCCAATCCAGAGAGTGCCATCTCCTGCCTTCCTCTGCTCATTGTCATGCATGAAACATGGAGCTGTGCAGCCTCCTTGATGGAGTAACAGGTGTAGACACAGCTCAGAGCTGGTTTCTGGCAAGGTGGGCTTGGAAGCTAGGTCTCTTGCTGCCTAGTCCAGTGCTCATTCTGTCAGCTGCACTCCTCCTCAGGCTGTTGATAGAAGAATGTGGGCTGGACAGAGGCAGGGAGTTAGAAACTAGTAGGAGGCCAGGCCTCTTTCTTCCTTCCCCATGTTTGCCAGGACAGCATGAGAGAGGCCAAACTCCTGGGGCATGGGGTGGGGTTGGGGGGCATTAGGAGGGTGCATGACTTGTATTCAGTGAACTTTAATCACATGGCTGAGCTTGCAGGGGCAGACACCACTGCCTGGGGCTGCTTGCCCCCAGACTTGACATTCTTGTGGAGTTGGCATGAGAGCCACACCACCCAGATGCCAAAGGGCGAGGCACTTAGGGCACCAGGCCAGGGGATGTGAAACCAAGCTCCCTGGATGCACTTAATTCCTGAATTGGCTGACTTTGGACAATTTAATTTCTCTCGCTGAACCTCAGTTTCCTCATCTCTAAAAGGGGAGGATTAAGTAACCTGTCATCTATAAAGTAAAGCACACGGCATAGTGCCTGGCAAGTGGTACGTGTCTGTAAATATTAATTAGCCCTTCTTCTCCCAGTGGGGAAAGTTTATCAGAAGGACAGAATGCTTGCTGAGGAGCCTGTTTCAGGTGGCTGGGGAGAATGTGTGCTGCCTGCATCAG